ATTTTCTATTGTTTTAGCAGACAAAAGGAAGAAGCTTTTCCCTTTTCTGTCTCCTGCCCACCATTCTCCTCCTTTTGGGTGGACTTGCATCGCACGTCTGGCAGTATGGAGTCCCTAAATCTGTGTCACACCTGATGTCACAACTGGAGCTGCACTGGTTGGAAAGTTTCTGGATGCCTCAAGAGACATGCACTTTTGACTGTAGGTGAGGAAACGGGTCCTTTTCATATTTTGAAGTATTTAAATGGTGAGTTTGAGATGTTAATGTGTTTCTAAACGCTCCTTATCAGGCTTACTATTGTTGAGAGTGTCCCTGAGGGCCTCAGCTTCCCTTCCGGCTCGCCACACCTGCAGAACATTTCAGACACTTGGACTAATCTGCTAAACAAAGCAAACCGCTCTGTCCACATTGGTGCTTTCTATTTCACACTCCGAGATTCAGATTTAGGCCTTACGGAGCCCTCGTCTGTGCTGGTACGTTGTATTGTGGACATTTTACGCACTCTGAAGGCTCTAAAACATTTGTTACCTGCAGGATAATATTAATTTGCATTATATAAGGCGTTTCATTTAAATCTTTTCTACAGGGCAAAAAAGTGTTCAACCAGCTGAAGCAGCTGGAACCAAAAGGAGTGAAGTTGAAGATCGCTGTAAACGCCCCTCAGCCGTACATCGCAGACACAGACGAACTGGTTGCAACAGGTACAACAGCGTGCCTATTGCACATGCAGCACGTGAAAATGTATGCATTGAGAATGGTGAATGGTTTGGATTGGATGTTATGCAGCTTTTTTCCTTTAGCTTTCTTGCTTTGTGCTTTCTCTCAGGGGCTGAGGTCAGGGGAGTTGACCTGCAGAGCATCACTGGAGGCATTTTGCACACCAAACTATGGGTTGTGGATAAGAAACACATGTATTTAGGGAGCGCAAACATGGATTGGCGTTCCCTTACCCAGGTACGTCTAAATCAAGCGACATTGTGTGTCATTATCTGACTGGACAAAAGTTGTCTGTTGACATGCAAATATGCATGGTCAGTGTGCATGCAGGTCTTTGACATGTAAATGTGTTTGTGATTTTATTTTATTTTTTATTAATTATATTATTTTATATTCATTTTATTTTATTTTATATTTATTTTGTAAATTTCATTTGAATTATTTATTTTATTTTATTTATTTTTTATTCATTATCCAGTGCAATTTATTAGACCGTAATGTCAAAATGGCTATTAACCCAAATACATAGGCGGAGTTTCACTTTTATGCTTGGGTGGGGCACCGACTGAGCCACGAGCACTTTTTTATATGTTCTACATTTCATATATTTATATAACATATATTCGACATTAAAAATACATTAAAAAAAACCCAGAAAAACATACCTAATGCAGAAAAGCTGCCTCTTTTTCCGAATTGCATAGATGACCACTGTCTTTCTTTCACTATTTCTTCTCTTCTGATAGTTTTTCAGTCAAATTGTTCTCTATGTGCAGTAAAGAAAGATCTGAGAATCTGTCCTGTGCCACTGAAGATCGGAGCCAGATTCTCCTCATAACTGAGAAACTTATTTCTGATGTAGCCGAACCAATGGGCAGCGTGAGTGCAACTGCAATAGTCTGAAAAAGTTTGGATATTTGTCCTTCCGTAGCCTACTTCATCTTTAAGTTTCTCAAGACGGAGTAATCGCGATGCGATCTCACATTTCACAAGATCCACTTCAGCTATCACAAGCCGAGGGTGAATCTTAAGGCTTGCGTACATGCTTAAACTGAATACTGCATCACACGCCACACTCAAGGCCATCGCTTCAAATCGCCTGTCCAATTCAGCCAGAAATGACTCAGTCCACCACATTTGTATTAGCGGGTTTATAAAAAAAACAACGAATATTTGTTAACTTGCTAAAGCGGGGAAAATAACGAAAAGAGAGTCCTCTCATGTCCTCTCAAGTTGAGAATCATTCGCGACTCACGAGGATATGGGGCTTAAATAATTAATTTAGCCCAAAACTTACTTATTCTAACCACTAAAATAATACGATAATACAAATAAAATGAGAAAATGTGAATTCTTTCATTTTTATATTTGGTTACACTTTATTTCGATAGTCCACTTTAGACATTCTACTAACTATAAGTAACTTTGTAACTACATGTCAACTACATGTCAACTAATTCTCAGTAATTTGCAACTACATGTCTACTAACTCTCAGAGTAGACTTGGTAGGTTTAGGGTTTGTAGAATGTTGACAAAGAAAGTGTTAGAAGATAGTCTTAACAACTCCGCCTATGCTTCTCAAGTGTTTGTATCCCCCAGGATACGTTGCCCTGTTTAGGGTTATTGAAACCAGGCAGGGGGCCTTACACCAGTAGTTGGATAAGATTGCCTCTTTAAACATTTTAGATTTTTTCTTTTCTTTTTTTCCTACAAAACTAGGTTAGTAAATGTTTCTATTTACTGAATTTCCCTTAATAACACATTGAATGATGTATCATCATCCATGTACATGAGAACAGATACAGATTTGGAACAATATGAAAGTAGAAATTATAGTAATATTCATTATAATAATGACAGTTTTCGATTTTGGGTGAACTATCCCTTGTTAAGTCAGGATGTTTAACAGGGAGATTTTAATGATCCATGTGGTTTTGAACATGTGGTTTGTAGTCCCTCTTCATTTAATTCTTCTTCTTCCTTCTAGGCTTGTTTCAGAGGCGTTAGATGCATGATATGTGAGCATTGCGTTGAATATTTCAGTGTCTGTCTGCCTGGTCCATGCTGACCTGCCTGACATGTGACGTTGTGCTCTCGCTGGAAATGCCCCGTCGCCTCACATCAGTCAGCTGGCTGGAAGAAGCAGCTGCCCCTCTTCTCCTCTCCTTTTTTTCTCTCATCTTCTTCTTTCTCTCAAAATAAACCCAACATATTGATCCGAGAGAGAAGAAGCAGTAAAAAAAATTATTGCTTGCACATGCATGGCACAATTGCTAGTTTCATGTAATTTTACAATAAAATACTTAAAATGATAAAATGAATTTTAAAATAATAATTTAAAATTTAAAGAACAATTATTTAAGTGGGAAAAAATAGTAAATTGACATTCCCAGAATTGTGACAACTCACATTTGGTTTATTATTGAAACTGCTGTTTCTTCTTTTCTTATCATTTATTTATATGAAGGTTTTATGTTACATCTTATTTTGTTAAATTAATGTTTATTACATTATTTTAGTGTCACTTGAGTCACTATGATAATGTTCTTTTGTGTATACTGTATGTGTCAGACCTTAGGGCTGTTTGTTGTGTTTTCTTCCCCCATGAGCTCTGTTTGACGTAGTTTCTGTCTCCGTTTGATTATGTCATTTGGTTCAGGTGTGTGTGGTTAATTATCCTCATTTGCTCCACTATATTAGTTGTGTTCTGTTCTCTGTTTGTCATCCGGTCTACTACATTCCTATGTGTGATCCTGCCTGTCCCACCTGTGCTCGCCCTTTTGTGGATTATTAAAGACTATTTGCATTGTTCATCGTTTTCTTCGTGCGTTTCATTCACCGTAGCTGTGACAGAAAATCGGACCTACAAAAAGAAAGAAAAGTATACCCGTCGTGTTTTCTCAGTTTATTTTCCCGTTTTTGTCAGTTTTTGGTTTTCTTAATGGATCATTACACCTCCCGACTCATCGCCATTGCCCGTACTAACCCTGACCTGTTCGACTTCGCCAGAGACTTCAGTGTTTTCGCCACGACCTGCTCATTTGACGATGGGACACTGAAGTCTCTGTTCTGGATCGGGGTGAATCTTCACTACGCCATCGAAGTCCCCCCCCACCCCCAGACACCACTGGACTGATTTGGAAGGAGGCCATCATCCGGTGTCTGGGGAGCATCAACCCCCGATCCGGAACACAGCCAGACCCAGAGCCCAGCCCACCATCACCCCGCTGTGCGGAGCAAGAGCCTGAGCCTACCGATGATGGAGAGCCTGAGCCTGTCGCAACCGACGAGCCATCGCCTGATGGAGCGACAGAACTGAGGATCGCCTTGGAGCCAGAGCCCGTGACATCAGACCAGGTGTGAGAGCCGGCTACAGAGCTCGCCATGGGGGAGAGCGATATGGACAGCGAGAGCGTGGAGGTAAGCTCCACCCACTGAACTGTATGCCTGTCCTGAAACGACCACAGAGGTCTTGTGGTGTGTGTGGGCAGCTAAGCCCTAAGTCCCCTGAACATTCTGTACTCCCACCCTGCCTCCCTCTCCCACCTCCTTTATATCAGTCCTCACCATCACCACCGCTGTCTCCTGGCAGTCCCTCTGCTCACCCTCAGCCCACCATCTGTGCAGTAGGATCGCCGTGAGTCTGCCAGTCTCCATTGGCGTCATGGCTGGAGGATCCCTTTTCTCCGCCTCCAGTCTCTGAGTCCTGGACTCCGCCTCAGCCCTTCGACCCAGCGGCTCCACCATGGCTCCTAGCTCCCTGCTCTCCACCATGGCCCATCAGTCCACCAGCTCTGCCAGGCTCCCACATCCCTCCGGCTCCACCTTGGTCTGCCGTCGACCATCTGCTGCCTCGGGACTCCACTCCTCCGGCTACACCTTGTCCCTCTGGCTCTGTCAGGCTCCTCCTTCCCTCCGGCTCCACCTCGGTCCTCTGTCACTCCGGTTCCACCGCGGCCTTCCGGATCGTCGCCCTGGCTCATCGGCTCTCCGTCTCCGCCTCGGGCTTCACCACCACCTGCTCTGCCGCTGTCGGTCGTCCCCCTGGAGTCTTCAGCCCTTCCTCCACCATGGCTCCTCCCTCTGTCGGCTCCACTGTGGGTCGCCATCATGACTGGGATCTGGGTCCCGCCTGGCTTCTCCTGCTTCCTCCTGGCTTCTCCCTGGCTCCTCCCTCCGTCTGATCAACCCTGGACTTTGGTTGTCGTCCTCCTCCTGGGTGTCCGTCCTCCACCGGAGCCTCCACCTGTCTTGTATGCCTGCCTTCCTGCCAGCCCTTTGCCGTCCCCTGTCACCATCCCTTCTCCACTCCTTTTGTCCTCCTCCTAAGTCCCCCTCCGTCCCTCCCTTTGTCTCTGTGGCGCGAGGTCGTGCCTTCCGGGATGGGGGGCGAACTGTAAGACCTTAGGACTGTTTGTTGTATTTTCTTCCCATGTGCTCTGTTTGACCTAGTTTCTGTCTCCATTTGATTATGTCATTTGGTTCGGGTGTGTCTGGTTAATTATCCTCATTTGCTCCACTATTTTAGTTGTGTTCTGTTCTCTGTTTGTCATCCGGTCTACTATGTCCCTATGTGTGATCCTGCCTGTCCGACCTGTGTTCGCCCTTTTGTGGATTATTAAAGACTATTTGCATTGTTAATCGTGTTCGTGCGTTTCATTCACCGTAGCTGTGAAAGTATGACACCTGTGTAACTTCTATTTGTTAGTATTTAAAGCAAGAAATTCTGCAATTGTATTTCAGATATTCTATTTCAGTTAATGATATATAATGATATATGATATGATGATATTTACTGTAAAGTTCATTTAAATTGCTTAAACCTTTTTTTATCATAAATTTCAACCCACCGTGGTAGTAGAGTAGGTTGTAACAGATCCAAATTGGACGTAACCTTCTATCTCTTTTCTCCTGCTGCCACTATGCATTAATTGCGAACGGTTCTTTTAGGTCCTTCTTCAATAACTTTAAAGGGGTCATATGATGCTGCTAAAAAGAACATTATTTTGTGTATTTGGTGTAATGAAATGTGTTTATGCGGTTTAAGGTTCAAAAAACACATTATTTTCCACATACTGTACATTATTGTTTCTATGCCCCGCCTTTCTGAAATGCATCGATTTTTACAAAGCTCATCGGTCTAAAAA